AAAAGAAAAACAAAAGGAAATCTTAACTAACAACGAAGAAGGAAATCAGGTAGAGTTATGGGGAAAGTTGTGCAGTATCTGGCAGTGCTCAAGTTCTGCCTGAATGGTGTTCACCTTATACCTAGGAAAAGTGGCATTGTTAGCCCTCCTCCACCATATGTCCAAACTGGATGGGTCAAGTCTTTGAATCTAATGATTTTTACAGGAAATTCAGAGAGCCATTTTGCAGCCATGGGGTTACAATAGGTAAATTCCAGACAGAACGATATTTTACTTAAAAATATTTTTGAGGCAGGGTCTCATCCTATGGTGCTGAATTTGATACTTAAAATCTTGTCACAGCAGGGCAAACTTGTATGGCAGCTTTCAGCTCTAATTCCAGTACTTAGAAGGCTAATGCAGGGGGATTGTCACAAGTTCCAGGACTAGTCTGGGCTACATATTGAGTACTGAGATCAGCTTTAGCTAGATAGTGTACTTGAAGCTAGCATGGGATGCATGAGACACCATCATCCAAAGAAAACACACACAGGAGACACCACCTCTCAAAGCAGACACACACACACACACACACACACACACACACACACACACACGACAAACTACCTCCCCAAACCACACATACACACAGAGACAGAAACAGACTGACAGACAAGAATGTGATTCCACCCTAGAGTTTGCCCAGCTTGCCCTGCCGAAGACCATGGGTTTAGTTCACACCCTGAGTACTAGGTTTGCAAGTGTCCCCACTATACTTAGTTTATGCTGTGCGACTAACTAGACAAGCATTCAACCAACTGAGCTAATGCCCAGTCCCATTACCTATAATATAATAGACTAATTGATTAGCTAATTTTGAGGTGGTTAAAATTCAGAGATATTTACATTAGAAACTTGACCTATACACTCAATAGGTCAACAGGCACTCAATAAATAGAAGCAAACACTACAAACTTTAGCCCATGTACAATGTTAAAGTCTCAGCTGCAGTTTCTGAAGATAAAGCCCATTTGAGCTGTACTGGTAGAGTCTAAGAGTCTACCAAGTCCCTCAACAGTCTGCAAGCAGAGATTCTCCAGAGTACTATGACATCTTGCTGAATCTGTCTACTTCACAAAAGCAGAGCCCACTCTTTCCCTGAATATCACTTCTATATTTGGGGGTTCTCCTAGCTTTGTCTTCCTGCCATCCCTTCCTAAGGCTAATGGAAGGCATTGGCTAGCTTACTTTTTATACTGAGTTACAAGTAAATGTTAAGTAAGTATCCATCATATCCACAAATGTTAAAAATTGCTAAGCAGAGTCAATCCTGAAGAATTCTAGCATTTTCCTTCAACTGAGACAAACACATGAGCCCCAATGGTGTTGGCAGCACAGGAGCAAATACCAAATGAAGTGAGAATTAATACAGTTCACACCCTGTCGTGCCTTATTTAAATCACCAACATTATACAAACATCACTGTCACCTGGCCCGATCCTGTTCCTGATGTTCTGCCCAAGGCTCCCCAGCAACTCCTACATTTTAGAGCCATTTCTTGGCACCCTGCTTAGGAAGCTAATTTGATTCAAAGTGAAAGCCCGAAGCTCTCAGCAAAGTTCTGCTTGTATCCTACAAATTCCTCACATTAATGTGCTTGTTAGTGTTCTTTACCCAATGCTCAAAACCAATTTCCTCTAAAACATTCCTTCACCTTCTCTGACAGAGACTAGACAGCGCCTTCTTGAGTGGCCAGTTGACTATATGACCACACCCGTGAAGCCAAGAACAGGACAGCGCTCCCAAATGGAGAGAAAGCTTTGTCTTTAACAACAGTAGAGATGTCAATATACCAAATACAACAACAACCCCACTCCTCATCACCAGCTAGCACAGTATTAGACAAATCTATAGCAGGCATCTTTTCTTTTTTTTTTTAAATATTTATTTATTATGTATACAATTTTCTGTCTGTGTGTATGCCTGCAGGCCAGAAGAGGGCGCCAGACCTCTTTACAGATGGTTGTGAGCCACCATGTGGGTGCTGGGAATCGAACTCGGGTCCTTTGGAAGAGCAGGCAATGCTCTTAACCACTGAGCCATCTCTCCAGCCCCCAGGCATCTTTTCCTAAACAACTGGGCCGGCCTCCTGGACCCACTCACACAGCCTTTCCAGTGAGCCCACTCTCACATCCCTATCCCCAGGGAAGTGACATGGGAGTTCTCACTTTCTGTTTCACAGGAGTCAAGGCACCTGTAACAGCGGCAAGGAGCCATTGCAGTGTCAAATGGTACAAGATGCCTGGGTTTCAGAGATGACCATTCACATGGTCAGAGAAGAAAAATCATTTTTCAGAACATTATAGGATTAATGTACAAGGGCTGGGGCTAGTCATTGGACTCTGCAGGAAAAGGGGTTTCTACAATAGACGGATCAGAAAGTTTCTGGTGTGACCTTTGTTTGGCAGCTTGGGGCATTCTGGTAGGATACTAGATCATTTCCAAGTTAGGTTTTATTTCATATAACTAGCAGGGGCTCAGGCAAGAGGACCATGTTTAAGACCAGGGCTACACAGAAAGTTTAAGACCATCCTAAAATAACACAATAAGGCCCTGTCTCAAAAAAGCAACAACAATAATAATTACTATAACTATAGCTTTACCTGGAACCCTGGATCTCAAGAAATAGAGAAATTTCCCATTCTTGGAGTGCATGATGGCTCTCTTAATGAACTCTACCACAGACTGACAGCGATCCTCAAACTTGGGATGGCACCATAAGCTGAAGGTTCCTGAAATGGAAGATTAAAGAGTAAATTTACAAACTTTTTTGGTGGGGTGTGGTATCACATCCTTGTCATGAGTCTAAGGTAGGTAGATTTGAATTAGAAGCCAGAGTGGACTATATAGCAAAACTCTAAAAACAAAAACAACAACAACAAAAACCCAAACCAAATAAACCAAATAAAGAACCTCAAATGATCTGAGAGGCCAGTTTCAACATTTTTATTTATTTATTTATTTTTATTTTTTTGTTACTTTGAGAGAGGGTTTCTCTGTTTAGCTCTGGCTGACCTAGAACTCACGCTGTAGTCTAGGCTATTCTGGAACTGACAGAGATCTGCCTGCCTCTACCTCCCAAATGCTAGGATTAAAGGCATGAGCCACCACCACTTGGCCTAATAATTAAATTCTTAAATTTTTTTCCCGAGACAGGGTTTCTCTGTGGTTTTGGAGCCTGTCCTGGAACTAGCTCTTGTAGATCAGGCTGGTCTCGAACTCACAGAGATCCACCTGCCTCTGCCTCCCAAGTGCTAGGATTAAAGGCGTGCGCCACCACCACCCGGCGTAAATTCTTAAATTTTTAAAAAATAATTTTGATGAGCGGGAGAGATGGCTCAGAGGTTAAGAGCACTGGCTGCACTTGCAAAGGTTCTGAGTTCAATTCCCAGCAACCACAAGACAGCTCACAACCATCTGTAATGAGATACAGTGCCCTCTTCTGGGTTGCAGGTACACATGTAGGCAGATCACTATATACTTAATAAATAAATAAATCTTTAAAAATAGTAATTTTGAAAAATTCACTTTGCTGGTTATGATAGCATACACCTTGAATTCAAGCACTCAGGAGGCAGAGACAGGAGACTGTGAGTTCGAGGCCAGCCTGGTCTACAGAGTAAGTTCCATAACAGCCAGGGCTACACAGAGAAACCTCTCTCAAGAAACAAAACAAACAAACAAAACTCTTAAAATATAAGGCCAGCAAGATGGCTTAGTGGATAAAGGTGCTTGCCACCAAAGATGGCAACCTGAGTCCTCGCCCTAAAACCAACACAGGAGGAAAGAACTGATTCTCTCCAATTGTTCTACCATACACGTGTGGTAGCTAGCATAAACGTGTTCACACATGCATACACAAAATGCATAAATTAAAAATAATGTAAAAATATTAAATTTAGGGGCTGGAGAGATGGCTCAGAGGTTAAGAGCACTGCCTGCTCTTCCAAAGGTCCTGAGTTCAATTCCCAGCAACCACATGGTGGCTCACAACCATCTGTAATAGGGTCTGGTGCCCTCTTCTGGCCTGTAGGCATACACACAGACCGAATATTGTATACATAATAAATAAATAAATATT